CTATTTGTTTACTCCGTCCATGTGCTTTTGATTACTTGTTTTGATCAACTCATCCTGCCGCAAAGGCCGTCCCGTCTGACACCGGTATATATTAGCGGCGCGCGTGTGTGAATGTCGACAGCTTCTTACACTTGCGTGCTCGTACCGCGTTTGCTGGGCCTGCCCAAGCTTGCTTGCTCTGTCCCGATTTCTGTGTGACTGCAACGCCAATCGGAATCACGAGACTGGCCTGAGAACGGACGACCCTAACCCACACTACGGAGCCAGCATTCCGCTTGCCGACCGACCTTCACACTGCATTGCGTCGGTCACTGACAGACCTGTGCACTTGTTGACGCCACGAAAGTGGACTATTGAGGCTTGTTGTATAAATTTGTTTACCTTTGTCTTAATAGTACTGTAGAGTTTTTAATCTTCCTCTTGATACTCGGAATTGTCAAGCAGACGCATCACTCAAAGTTCCGTTTCGGAAACCTCGACAATGCTGAGTGCGTATCAGCTGTGTTGACTCAAGCGAATCTTTGTCAGAAGCGTAAGCTGACTGAGTGACCGCTTTCGTGCCAACACTTTAATGGACGGGAGTCCAACGGTGGCTCCAAGACAGCTTCCAATTTTCGGTCACACGTTAGCTCGACGAGTCTATGCTGCATAGTGGTTAGAAATGGTGTAGAGGTGCCAGATGAACCGCGTTGTTTACTGTCAAAAGTGCTCAGTGCGTTGAAAACGAACAGCTTCGTTAGCCCCGTTTGTAGTTGCTGGCCTCTCAGCTCACCCATCATGAGGTCTGGGCCACCCAATAGGCCGACTTTGTTGCTTACTTACTTACTTACTTACTTACTTACTTACTTACTTACTTACTTACTTACTTACTTACTTACTTACTTACTTACTTACTTACTTACTTACTTACTTACTTACTTACTTACTTACTTACTTACTTACTTACTTACTTACTTACTTACTTACTTACTTACTTACTTACTTACTTACTTACTTACTTACTTACTTGCTTCCGTCAGACAACATGTTCCCGAGCGCCAAGCACTCAGTTACATCCAGCGGATTATGACCTGCCATTTCGGTCTTCTATGTCATCCTCTTGGTAAAACAGTCAAAACCAGGGAAGGTCGAAATATGTCATGACAACAGTTTTGCGCGCTGTACATGGCGCTGAATGTTCATTCTTGCCATTGACTGACACCTGAGCCAATACGATGGACACTTTGTGCCTGATGTGCGAGTCTTGACTGTGCAACCGCTTACCGCATTCAACAGGCATCACACACATAACAAAAGAGAGATTCAGCTAGGTTTCAGGCGAGTCTCCCGGAAAGCCTTTTTCTGCAAGTTATTGTATTTCGCTAATTTCGTGCATTTGGGTTCAAGTAGGGCATAAGTTTGACGGAAACTCGGAGACTGCACCTACCTGATGAGCCCCAAGAAGGGCGAAACCGGTCGTGGGCTGCAGAAGAATCGTTAGCAACCTTATGAGTAGTGCATATTGGAAGTGAATAAGGATTGGGAGATAAGAGAAACTGCTGTAAAACTTCTTGTGATAAAAAGCGGGAGGTGGAGTTCACCAGCCGAACAAACTTACAGGAACAAGTATGTTGAACTTACCTGAAACCTCCTTTTCATTTGGAACGTTGAGAACTGGATTGTACCCCCGCTGGATCAATGGTCCACTAACACTGTTTTCAACAGTTGATCAGACTGTGAAACAGGCACATGCTTAACAGTTCAAATAGGGTGGTTCTCATGTGGTTTTTCTCATCGCGATTTTCACATTGTTTCATGGCTGCAGCTAAATTGCATTCAAAGCTGTCTTACGAGATTACACGAGGTCCGTCAAAGGCAGATCATCTGTCACCCAACAGGAATAACTATAAAAAGACCTCAGAGCACGCTGGTTGTTGAAACATTGTGAATAACTGACTTCCCATGGTGAATTGGTGCGCTGTTGTACCCTTTAGTTTCCTGGTCACTGTGGTGGTGAACTGATAGATCAACCTGTGAACTGAGCTTACACCTCCGGGCTTCCTGTGATAACTAATGCAAAATGCCAAAAAGGCGAATGAATGGATGAATCTCGTAACCGGAAACTCCCGTTTACTCTGAAAGAAAAACTAGTGCACAATTACGAAACTAGTTATAACCTGACGTGTATCGATGGTATGTACGGTCTTTGGTCTGTCAGTGAACAATCACGAATTGGTTATAAGTGGAGTGGCCAATCAAAATTCAAAGAAAGTTGGTCATGGATATGACATAGGCTATGATGCCACCGTGGCTTTGATCGACAGACTTCTTACTCCTTATCGTCATCATCATCATCATCGATATTATAACATCATTATCCAACATTGGTGCTTCGCTATCGCCAAAAGGTTATCACTCTTATGATATCCACTGAGTCGGTCATCATGACCATGAAGTTTACCCCCTATTAGTCAGTTGTCGAGGGTCAAGAGTGCAGAGGCTGTCAATATGAAACAAACGGATCGTATCCTCTCTGGTGTCTCAGAATTAGACATGGAAGTTCGTGCAAAACGACATACTGCTTGCTCAGAACTTCGTTTTGATACTGGTTACAATCAGAAGCAGCTTGTAATATGATGCACCGTAACTTTATTGCACGCAACTCGGTGGGGTGCAGTAGCCCTGAATTAGTTGCAGATGTACAGTAAACCCTAAGGTTTGTCAACCCTTTCCCACAAATGGGTAAGCCATCAAGACATCAGCTGATGAATAGATTCCATCGCGGAGTATGTTGTTCACTGGCGGAATTAGTACACCTGCCAAGGAGCGAGTTTCTGACAACAAATTCTGTATATCGGACCAGCTGATGGAATGTTGCGGGAGGGAAGAGGGTGGTTGAATCCGTCGCACACCTTCTTCTATCCGACAGACACTGAAGTTCATCATATCTGGCCACATTTTTTGGCAACCTCCAGGACTATGCATCCAGGTTGGTGTCGAATTTTACAGTTAAGCTGCTTCAGAACATCATTTAATACTGACTGGTGCTTGTTGGTTGGGGACAGGGGTGATTCAGTCCAACTTATGTTTTTCACTTGTGAACTGAAGTCAGTGCAATCCAATCAGAAAAAAACGCCACTATTTTAGTCGCTTGACTGCCAACTAGGTTCCAGCTTTAGCCCTACTCAAATGCATAACATCTATGGGACCAGTAGCCCATAAAATGAGAACTCTGCAATCAAATGATCAAGGAAAACTTGAAAAGTTTAGTGTGGTGGTCGACAGTCACCGATCTTGTCTGCGTTGGACAAGGACTAACGAAACCACTCAGTAAGATTCATTTCAAGCATTCTTCGAAGATTCAAACGTACAGACGGCTTTTAACGATCTTTGTGATAATGCGTTAAATCGCTTAAATACATCTTCTTTGTGCCATATTGCTTTGGCTTTTTTTTTAAATGGACGCCGTTTAGAAGAGCCAACCGAGCGTATCCTCTCCTAGGAGGTACTTCGTCTTTCAAGTAAAATTCAAGAGACCTGTTAAACGTAACTCCCAGTCCATAAAACCGACTGTCCAGAAGGAAACAGCTGCAGCAAGAAAACTGCAGGACGAAAGGGAGTTTAGACGCGGCCAATTTACTCGAATCTACGACCGAAAGGTTAGGACTACTTACGAAATACTGTCAATAATTTGGGCCTCTGTCGTAGTGCACCTGATTGAGATTAAATCCATTCGCGTAGTATTATCTGTGAGGACGGAGAGTCGGGGCAAGTAAAAGTTCAATTATTTCCCAATTCCGTGCATCACATTTGTTCATCCCACTGGTCCTGTGGTACGTGTATATTGACAATTTGCTTTAAGGCTGTGGAAAATATGCTTATACACGAAAAACCTTCCTTCCTTTCAGTCCGCAGCCAGTTGCCGACTGTGAAATAAATAAAAACAGTTAGTCCTACCATGGAGATTTTGTCATAAATTTAAGTGAACACTACTTGTTTGAGAAAGATGTTCGCGAACCCTTATTTGAATGCTGGATGATGTCCCAAAATCTCGCTAAAGTCATCCATTTCTAAGTAAAATAAATCATTATTTAACCAATTTATTTAGAAGTAACTGCTAATCTATGGTTTATGCTACTTCCTCAATGAACGTGCCGCTTAAAGCCCTCCTTATGTTCCATTTGCTGGGAGAGTTCCAGTTGAAATTCCATTGAATCTCTCTCTAAACCATTTCAGTGTTCAAGAAACACAGTGTTGATCGGAGCTGGGAGACTGTGCCTAACTGGTGAGCTTTGAGGAAGGAAAAATCGGTCGTGATCTTTTCAGGTGTTTTAAGCAAACTTATGAACTGTGTATTCCATTAAGTAAAAGGTCATATATCATTAGGGATGTACGAAAATGTAAACCTAACAAAGAAGTACAGGAGCGAGAGGGAGAAACTAATGCAAATGACCTTCAATAATTTACTAGCGTTTATTTGGTGTTAGTGGTGGCGCAGAGTAGGGCAGTGTTCGAACTCTCCAAGCAATTGCACGTCGGCAGTGCGAAGAACAAGTTCGACTGTCTGGAAGCACTGATTCATTGCCTGGCTATTTTTCACTGGTTGGAGAGCCTCTGTTATGAAGCCGACTCCGATAACAACTGACAGATCAATGCCAGTTAGAATATCAGTTTTAGCTACTTGCTGCATATGTGACTAAGTTTTACCAAGCCTCAGTTTGGCTATAGGAAATCCGCCATACTTCATATTAGGGGTGTTATCTCGGGTTCATTTTGGTGCCATCTCCGAAAATGTACACCGTACTTTCTAATAAAAAAAGAAATTACCAAGTATCCTTTTCATTCATGGCTGTATCAAGTGTGTGGTTTTGGTTTGCTTGTTTCATCTTTTTTCAGCCGTACTTTTATCATCATTCAACGAGGTTACCCAACCAATAGGAGCCCCCAAACGACGTAGTTGATCGAACTCTGTGGGTCCAGCCAGGGGACTTACTCTCGAGTTCCGTTTATCCTCGATTCAGCCCAGCTATTTCTCCAGAGATATGGTGGGCAGTGGAACGTTCACGACATTGTTCCTTATCACTTATCCCAAAATAAACCTCTGGTATGTTTGTAATGCACTACTCATAAGGTTTCTGAAAATTCGTCGACGGCCCACGACCGGTTTTGCCCTTCTTGAGGCTCATCAGGTGGGCGCAGTCCCCGAGTTCCCGTAAACCTTGTGTTCTACTTGAAACCAAATTGCACGAAATTAGCGAAATACACTCATTTGCAAACTAATTTGGTTTTTGGAGGAGGCTCATCTCGAACCCAGCTGACTCTTCGTTTGTGATGTTTCCAGGCCACTGAATGTGCTGCACCAGGCCGCCTCATGTTTCAGTCGCTACGATATTTAGTCACGTAAGAAGGGACTAAACGAAAATAATGTATGAAGACATGATCGGAAGATTCTTCTTCTAAAAGCGACGCAAGAACTGTGGTTCAGTTCATCCACCAAACCCGGGTGGAGCTTACAGCAGATTCTGACCACCTTTTCACGGGATTAGGGAATCTAGGCTGAGGGTGATGACAATATTCCAAGGCTTATACTAAGCAAGCAGTCAGAAAGGATACTAAATGAGGTTTCAACGTCTTTTAATATTCATGAAATAATGATACCAAAGATACCAGTAAGGAAAACTTCGTTTAAAACGACAGCACGAATCCGACTGGATCGAGGATATTCCTACTTTACCGTAGTTCCAGTTCTCCGATTAGAAAGCGGCACACACACAGGGATAGCAAAGCACTCTCCAAAGTTGGCAGTACGCATAGCGCTTTGACAATAATCTATCTGTATAGAATCATTATCTACACATGTGTCAAGCGCAGTGTATCAACATTCTCTAGCTCGGTGACCTTGAAAAAGGATGAAATATCCTTGGGGGGACCGTAACAAGGCAACAGAGAGAATTTGGAAATGATGAGGACAACATTGATGTGTTTACTGATGTGCGTGCCTGTGATTCGGCTTAGTTATTCCGTTAATCAAGACGCCAAAACCTTCCAGGTAGCTGTTATTGCAGTATCATACGTGACACCAAACAAATGGATCTCCAGTTAGTGCAATCGATCCGTGTCACAGCTTTTGTGCGCGTAAACAAACTGGAATCGTCTAAATCTTTCCTAACCAACTTATGGTGTCATCAAATTACACCTGTTTGCAAATGTAGTGTTGTCCACAGCCAGACAATTTTGGTGTGCTGGGCAGAGTTGGCTGCAAAGCTTGTGCTCCCAGATTGGTCGGTGATAACAGGTTTTGGAGGGCATTGTCTATCATTGCAGTAAAATTGATCACTGACAGCTGACCAAGTTTGCGCAGAGAGTGGACAATATGTATATAGTCATTGGAAAGGGACTGAGCTAAGACATATGTTCAAAAAGGCATATTGTGTTTGGTAGCTGCGCAGCTAAATTAGGAGCTGTCCTGATTTCGCGCGTCAAGGTGGTATTTCTTATTACCAGGCTTAAATTGTATTTGGCGGGAAAGCTTTTCGGCACAGTCTAGATAAGTCCATTTTGGTGTGTAACACGACTCCCTGTTTTTCAGCGCGTCGGTATTCTGTTTTTCTGCGTCGCCGTCATCCTGACATTTATAGGCTGAATGCCATCCATTGACCTCTTTTTCTGTCCTTGAACCTGTTTCATTAAAAACAATCTGGTTAAGCAGACAAATTAGTAGTGGTCCTTTACTGAGGGTGACCTTTTTTGGAAGGCCCGCACGCTTACAGAGGAGACTACATCAAGGGTTTCTGAAACCTCTTTGACAACCCACGACCGTTTTCATCCTTCTTGAGGTTCCTCAGGAAGGTTTGGTTCCCGAATTTCCGCCAACCTTATGTTCTACCTTATGTATAGTCGAATAACACGGCAAGCCCCCAGTAAAAACCAAACTGGTATACAAGAGAGTGTGCTTGTCGCATGTCTGGTGCACTTATGTATATATCGGGCTAGTTAACCTTGACTGGAAGGCTACTATTATTCATGTAAGCGCATAAAATGAGAAACATAGTGTGAGGTCTACGGGGCTGATGTGATTTGCGGCCTTCACTCGACCAGTCCGGCATCAATTTGCTCCACGGCATAATTTCAAAAATTTGTCATCGTTAAGACAAGGTGATCCTGAAGTCGTAAAAATCTGTCTGTCCATCTGTGGTCCGGTTTACATCGAATTCCGACACACACACACACACTGAATTGCCAGAAAGCCCTCGGATTCATAAATAACATACGTCCAAGTGAAGTCGGCGACTGCATGGTTTAAAACTTAGACCTGTACATCAGACAAACACGCATTGCTAGATATCTGATTAGTGTCTCTCAAGACAAAAAACGTAGTAGATTGCTTTTCTGGGACCGAACACTTCTGTTTTGGAATTATCCCTTGTGACACTACCGATTCTATGACTTGGTACTTGTCCTCTTTCCGAAAGATTGCTAAAAATTAGGGGCATTTCTAACCATTTTGATGTAGAAAAGCAAGTTTATTTCGGCTGTTGTGGTAACACCTGATTTCGTGGAGATATAGAAAAATAATGACGTTGGTAATCAAATGCCATTGTTTAGACCTTCAAACACTACGAGTTACCTTGTTCCAAAGCAAAGTATAATTAAGCACGGCACGCGCGATTCAGGTAGGTCTCACGCTCGAGAGGTGAACTACCCTAGGTTTTATCTGATTGACAAAATCGACTCAAAGAGGCGCAGAATAGACTGAGGTAGATGTCTTTGCCATGGGATGTCACTGTTAAATGTGGATAATCCCAGACCAGGTGGCAGATGGGCACTGCTCGTTCGTCCAATTGGTACACCTACGCAGTGTTTTATTGAGGTTGGTTAAAAGAAGCCTCTTGGTGCGCAAGAACAAAAGCATTTCTTCAGGACTGAGGCTTTGGCAAACCCAACAGTGCTTGTGTCATAAGGCATACAGAACAATAGATTAATTTCCTTCTAAATTACTTAAATACATTGTTTTTGTGACACTTGTGCCTTCTGTTTGTGTGTCCCCACATGCATATTTAGTTTTCTACTGATTTATGCTATATGGAGAGTCGCCTTTGCTGAATTTGTGCACTCAAACTGCCTTTTCATCCAATGGTATGACTGTTTTGTGGGTATAAGAAATCTTGAGTAGGCTGAAAATATCAATCTCAGGTATGGCCGTACAAATTTGCTTGCGATCCTCTCTCACATAGTTGAATGGTCGTGTTGTAGGTTCAGTTTCCTGTTGCTTTTTTGCTCCTACATGAATGAACGCTCCTCTATGACGCCTCTTCGATTCTGTTCAAATGACAGCAAATGGAGGTCTCTTTAAAGTAGACCTTGTTTGCTTGATTCACCAACGATCACACCAAGTTCGCTCTCGTGCGCAATGGATAAGGTGAAGGAAATTTTAGTGCGCTATACAAACATGTTGTGCACTGTTCTGCTAAATTTTATAAAAGAATCTCGAACATCAACTCTGCGCTGATCACTTTCAGCCACACAGTTAAATGCTACATCATTGGAAAGTGAATTGAGGAAAGCCAGTATGTCATCGTAGGATTCGTATCACATGATCACAAACGTATGTTATCAATATAAGGCCACCAGAGGCACAATGGACAATAAGAAGTGCTTATGTACTGGGAATTTACACAGTTGGTGGGTTCGGATACCACGGCTAGTCAGTTTGTCTGCACTTGTTTTCGAAAGGTAAGGTAAGCCGCGCGTGAGCAAAGTTCAGCGCCAGAAATTAATTTCACAATTGATGTAGTAGTACTTGTACTGAGTGCCACGCTGTCATCAAGTAAGTTCTTTAGTGTCCCTGGACTTTTCTTTGTAAGTAGGCTTATTTGAAGTGAGTTGAAAAAAATAGTTTACACTGCGAACCATGGTATTTTAAAGGATCTTAGAAATCTGTTCGAGAACCTCCCGGGTTGCTATACTGGACAAGTAGAATGGTTCAAAATCGGGTGAAGTGAAGTGCACTTTCGTAAATCCGTAAAGTCTAAAAGCGATAACTTGACATAATACTCTAAGTTGCTGAAAATCCTTCGCAATTCAAGACCACTTTCACCCTTGGGGCGCAGTATCCGAGTTTCCTTCAACCTTATGCTCCATGTGAGCATCGAATTAGACACAACTGTCGAACTGTTCTTCTTTGCAAATGATTAGTTACCCAACTGAATCTCTGCTGTCTTTCACTCCTGATGTCCTTCAAATCAATGCGCTGCACAAAGATGGCCTCATGTAGTTTTTACGTGAAAAATGCAATAAAACACCTCGAATATCATGCCAATCGAAACATGAGGTGGCTGGTGCTTAAAACACCATGAACGAGAGATGAAGCAGGGTTCAAGGTGAGTCTCCCGTCGAAACCAAATTGGTATGCATATCGTGTGAATTTACCTAACTTTTCTCACTCGGCTGAAAATAGGTATATACTTGAGCCTTGTCAAAATCGAGTGCATTTGTGGGTTTGTATAACTCATCGTTGCATTGACTCACGCCTCAATCCTCACGAATGGAAGCCTCCTCATTCAGGCCCCCAAGTGCACGGCGTCCTGTGGATGTTAGATTGAAGGCCAAGGACTGTTGTCTTGTTGCGTATGTCAATAATAGTGGATGTACCTTCGTGCTCGACTTCAAATGCTTGTTTAATCAGTGAGTTCAATACATTTCGATTTCATTATCTTTGATTACGTAGTGAACTTTAGCCTGTTTTGTACAACAGAGATGCCAGCGCTGTTTCGGGTACCAGGTGAGGAGCGTTTCATGGGGTTGTTTCGGATATGTGACTATAGTTCGTCGAGCCTCTTAAAATTTCTCCTCTGGCAGTTACTTAAATTTGCGAATGATTTCTTTCCTCCAAAGCAGAAGAATTTAGGCGACGAGGTACGTAGATTATTCGGTCAAAGGGTTTCGGTGTACATATCCGGGGTTGCTACATCTTGACCAATCATTAGTTGTCTCATGTTTAAACCAGGGTTAAAACGATTCAGCCAAACAACTCTGGTGAATTGTCTTACAAGTTAAAAACATTAGGTTATACTAGCTCTCCACAAGACCAGACAACCCTTTAAGAGTTGCTTTTCCTCTATTTTGCGAGTCTCTTTAAAGTACAACCGTAATTCTCCAACCACATGTTCCGATCCTGAAAGCTCTCAGTTGTTTGTAATATCTGCATAAAAGTGGGCAGATTCAACAAAGGAAAAGGACTTGGATGTTCTTTCCAAGTGACTGCTAGATATCCCGTTGGATTACCAACTTGCATATGCCTTTGGATCTGACGTGCTACTTGCCAAGCAACCAGAATTTTTTTTATCCAAATGACCTGGATACTAGGGTTATTTTTTCCACGGTTGATCATCGTATTCGCTCTGAGAATGCAGTCTGTCTTCAGGCCTGGCACAGAAGGGTTCCGAACTGCTCGATCTAAGATTGAAAAGTGAGTGCTACAATATGGATGCTTGGCAAAACTGCTATGCTAATCGTTTTGGAAGACTAGGTCGGTCTGCTGCTGTACCTTGCTGATATCAGCTTGCCATGATAACCGGTAAGGGTTACGATACATTCAAGTTGTCAGTCTGCAGTGGCTAGCAGATGTTTGAAGGTTGGTCCAACTCCAAATGTGTGTCAGTCAGTGGAGGACAGTCTGACCTCTTGGTCTTGTTTTCTGGCTATAAGGAGCTTACAATCAGGTTACTATACCACTGAGACACAAAGAAACTTATGCAGAAGAGTGAGGTCATTGGACATACATGTCGGTTAATGAAGAAAGACTTGAGAATCTGTTGCGCGCCATGTGATTAAATACTCTAAATCTACGAAAGCATAAGCTTGAATCTCCCCATTTCTTTTTGCGCAATTTGTCGAGTGAAAGTGACGAAGCATCTGCTTTTCTCCCCACCCCCTGCTTAGAGTGTGGATTGGAGGAACTGGTTTGACGACAGACTGCAATTGGTGAGTCATTGGTTCATTTGTCTCGGTTCCATCACAGGTTGGAAACACGAAGATCGATGTTTATCACGATCTGAACCAGAAGCGGCTTATCAGATTACTGGATCAAATAAGTTGAAAACGCATAAACTGTCATTCATTTTGAAAAAAAGCATGATTGTGTGTTAGGGAAAAACGGGTTTATTGCGCTACTGTCATTCTTTTGAAAAAAAGCATGATTGTGTGTTAGGGAAAAACGGGTTTATTGCGCTGTGTGCGATGACAGTGTATACAGTTGGCGGTACCTGGCTTATCTGGCACCATTTTTATCAGCAAGCTGTCGCAGCTAGGGTGTATCATTTGCAATGTGCCATGTGTTCCGTAAACCTGTCATATTTTAATGAGTATCATGGTTTAGACCATGCTGGCTTTGATCGAAACATATATCGTGAGGATTTCATGCTCATTTCAGTTCTCGAACGCTATTTTTACAGAATACTCGATGGAATATGCTGTAGCCAGATTGATGGAATTCGCGAGAATGCCAGCCTATCATGTTTGGTAACATTTATGGCGTCAGCGATGGTCTCGTGAATATCAGACGCTCTATAGCTCACGATAAAAGACAATGGAAATTGCTTGGATTTCAAAACCACCGGAGACGCTTGACGTTTCGTCTATATCTTGCGAGGATTGTAAACAGATTCACCAGTGATGATTTACTGAGAAGTCGTACAATTCTTCCAAACAGGACTTGGCATCCACTGAAGAGTTATTCCAGGTGAAGAACACATGTGTTCTGAAGTGATCTGGAGATGGTCCAAATGAATCTTGATGGATGCTGTACAGTAAAACCAGCGCTGGTAAACCGAAAAAACCCTGCAAGTGGGAGGTTAAGTTGGGTCTACCTTGAAAACCAGATTAGTTCGTAAATGAGTGTATTTTCCTAATTTCGTACAGTTTGGGTTCAACTAGAAAATGCGGTTGAAGGAAACTGGGGGACTGCGTCTATTTGATGAATCTTAAGAGGGGCGAAACCTGTCTTGGTCTGTTGAAGAGCTTCCAGCAACCTTACGAGTAGTGTGCCACGACTACACAGTTGTTTCACACTTGTAACCTATCATTACCACGAATCTTGTGAAGAACTTTAGTGATTAGATATATCGTCTTCAGGATCACGGCTTAAGTGTTCTGCCAATAGGTTGGCGTTAGCTGATCAGCAGTGCGATTGGCTTGCACTGGGATGTAATCTGGTCCTACTCATAGTTCTCCCATGCTATTGACACCGAATTCTCAAATACCTGCAGGATCATCGAGTGATGATGCATGGGATGGCTAGTGGGATTTTGAGGTTTCACCTGGAGATAGGACAGTGACATTGTTTGCTGCTCAACACCCTGTCGCTGAGTGTCTAACAACCCTCGGGACTCATTCAATGGACACAGCTAATATGTTTTAACTAGAATAAAGCTGATGCACAATATAACCTGGTTTTCCGTAGCTCGTGAATCTTTCTAGTCTAGTGTGCGGTTTCACGACTTATGACACTCCTTAGAATGTATAAATGAAGACAGTATATCTTGTTTGTGTGGAGCAGAACCACGACAGGGCCGGACTTGCGACAAAATGACGCAAACTGTTTCAAAACCTCACCGGAAATGTATTGTTCTCAGTATTGTTCTCTACCGTTTTCGGGTGTTACTCTAGGTGACCCATCGCCTTTTTCCTTTTTTATCGTACACAAGGTGAAAAACGACCCGTGCACTTTCCACGAAGAGTTCCCCAGCATACCGGTTGTGAATTTGTGTCCTGGGGGTTAAGGGATGTCTTGTGTCTGCTCATGAAAAGTTCAGTTTTTGGCCAGCTCTGTGTAGTAGGTCCTAGTTCTGTTTGCCCAAAAACCTTTCTCAATATAAATAGGTTCAACCGCTTCTTCTCGATTTGGATAGTTTGTTTGTATCAGTGTCTACCTGCATGAAACAGAATAAACGGGACTACTAAATAATAGAAAGTCGAAAAATGAACGCAGCCCCATTTCTGTGCAAGTTTCTGTTAATGGCTGGTGATAAAGTACAGTCCACGACAGCGCACAGTACCTAACGCACGCTAAACGAAGTACGCTGACCAAAGGTCCACCAGGATGGCATGGGCTTCCACGCTGAAAAACACGAGCGTCTTGTACGAGTTACAAAAAAGTAAATTGTATTTTTTGAGAGAAAGATATTCTGCTCCAGTGAGTAACTAAAGGCCGTGCTCGCAATGCGTGACCAGTACGAGAAATCATCAGCTCAGGAGACGAGACTTTAGACCCAAACCCAGTTCACTTTCTTTCTTGTGTAACTTGTTTACAAAAGATGATTATGTCCCGTTGTTTGCTGCGTTTGAGGTTACTGTGGGCGTAATGACAACGGTCCATTTATTCCAATGTGCTATCTAAATTTCTGACAGAACTCCCTGGTTTGTTGTGGATTTTTGTTTTTTTTTGTCATGTGTTATCTTAGCAATGTAAAGTATGTATGGTACATCGTGTTTACCAAATTTTAGCTATTCGTTTGTACGCTATATAGATCAAACGGAGCCGCTTTGGGAAACGCGAGCTTTCAGTGTAGCCGGACAGAAACTAGTCCAACAAACAGATGATGAATCCGAAACGAATTTTCACCACCTTGGTCACAAGGACTACGTTGCAAACAAGTTGTTTTGACAAACGCAAGGATTACGTTGCAAACAAGTTGTTTTGACAAATAGCTAACACGGTTATCTTTGTAATGTACTACTCATGAGGTTCAGCTAACATGGTTATCTTTGTTATGTACTACTCATGAGGTTGCTGAAAATCCATCGACAGCCCACGACCGGTTTCGCCCTTCTTGGGGATCATCAAGTAGGCGCAATCCCCGGGTTTCCGTCAACCTTATGTCCTATTTGAAACTTGGTTCTTTGTTTTCATTTGGGACCAAAGAGCAGATTTCCCCGAAAATTCGCATTCAATCTAAACGAATTGATGGACACACGGACCTTGAATATCACTCGACATCGTTCAAATTCGATATTGTTGTCTTTTGGATTGTTATTCAATCTCATTTATGGGTTCGACTTGGCTGCCTTACCAGTGCGCTTTTGGAGGTGAAACTGCAATTTGCATTTTCAAATTCAGTTCGAAGGGATCGCAAGGGAATTTTAATCATGGAAAATTCCTTCATCCATTTGCTTTGTCAACAGTGTGTTTGTTTAGCTAACATCACGTACCGCACACAAATACGTGGTGCGAAATTTACGAAGGTCGACCAATAAGTTTTGGACACATTTAGCTATCCGCATATCATAAGGAGTCCACATCTATGTCTTCCAGGCAGACCACCATCTCATTCTGTGTCCTGTTCTAGCTAAACAATCAATAAAGATAATGTTTGCTCGCAGCCTTCGGGACAAACAGTGTTGAATGCTATTCACAACGCACTGCTCATAAAGTCGCTGAAAATTTTTCAACAGCCCACGATCAGTTTCGTCCTTCTTGGGGTTCATCAGGTAAGCGCAGTCCCCGGGTTTCCGTCAATTTTATGTTCTACTTGAAACCAAATTGCACGAAATTAGCGAAATAGACTCATTTGCAAAAAAAATTTGGTTTTGCGAGAGACTCACCTGAAACCCAGCTGAATCTCTTGCTTGTGATGTGTGTGATGCCTGTTGAACGCGGTGAGCGCTTGCACAGTCAAGACTCGCATATCAGGCACAAAGTGTCCGTCATATTGGCTCAGGTGTCAGTTAATGGAAAGAATGAACATTCAGCGCCATGTACTATGAACAAAAGTGTCGTAAGTACGCAGAGAGCTCAAAATGGCAAGCAAACACAAGCCACTGACTGTGACCTTAGGAAGTCCCGGTCCAACCTTGGAGGATTGAGGGAAGCAAATCCTTCGATAAGAAATGATCATTAATTGGTGGACCAAAAAGTCGACATCACAACCAATTGCTGAGGTGCTTGTGATGGTGTGATGCCTGTTGAACGCGGTGAGCGCTTGCACAGTCAAGACTCGCATATCAGGCACAAAGTGTCCGTCATATTGGCTCAGGTGTCAGTTAATGGAAAGAATGAACATTCAGCGCCATGTACTATGAACAAAAGTGTCGTAAGTACGCAGAGAGCTCAAAATGGCAAGCAAACACAAGCCACTGACTGTGACCTTAGGAAGTCCCGGTCCAACCTTGGAGGATTGAGGGAAGCAAATCCTTCGATAAGAAATGATCATTAATTGGTGGACCAAAAAGTCGACATCACAACCAATTGCTGAGGTTATGGCGAGGGAAAATTCATCAGCTTCTCCTCGTTCCACGTAGTCATTCTGCACCGATCCAAGACTATGTTCACGTCAATTGCAGTTACTTGGCGATCCCGAACAGCAATTGGTTCGAGTTTGATGAAAGACGTGAACGCAGATGCTTTTAACTCCTCGAAGACGATGTATCCGAAGGCGACAGAAAGGCTCCGCGAGTTCCTCGCATTCAAAGTATGGTGAACACATCTAGCATAATGAGAAGCATAGGTACGCAGAAACACATTCAACCGCAGCTTGATATAGCTTGTGGTGGTACGGATGGAGGTGACTGGTTGGTGGGTCGGTTGTGTCCCATACCCTGTGTCGAGAAGGTATTGTATGTGAAAGGCGGGAGTATGTAGGCCGTGACAAGTAAGTTTTGTGCCAGTGCCAAGGTTCACTCCCAGAGAGACCAGAAAACGAGATGAGTGATACACCTGGCGAGCGGTGAGAATACTTAGCTGAAGGCAGAGTCGCCTTCCCTCTAATCACACAGATACGCAGTGTAAGAGACAGATACATAGAAATCAGCTCCAGACTGACGGATAGGAAATCCTAGACAAGAAGAACTACCGGAATGATACTCAGAGCTTTTGAACACGAAACTCATCCCTACTGACATGGTTTTGGCATGTAAAAGATATCGCCTCCGTTGTACCGAGAGTTGAGTAGAAAACTTACCTCGCAGAAGGATTAGGACTGCTGATAGCCGTAGCCATCTCGATTTTTGCTCCCTATGTTAGACAAAGTACTATCCACTTAGGTGCCACACTTATGAAGAGAATGATCCAAGTTTGGAGTGTCGGCGGCCGAGTTGGAAAACCATGCCAGATAAGAATGTGTGGCTCACTCAGACTCCCATGCAGCGTGAACGAGAACTCCGTAAGCCCACTAACACAAAGCTCACTGGCAGTCCAAGATTCATTCAAACCTTGGCTGGAAAACGGAAACGAATCGTGAGCCAAATGTGAGTGAATACAACAAATCTGGCTGCCGAAACCGCACACTTCGTGGATCTAGAGAGTGTACTCAACAAAACCACTAAGAAGATCAACCAACTTTGCACATCTTTTGCACTTACACCTATACCAATCTGATGTACCTCCAGTCTAGGGTTGGACGAAACTTGATACATTCCTTCGGAAGCTTTTTTAATAGGTTTGTGCAGCTCAAAAGGAATTAATCTTCTTCTGAAGGACATAATCGCCCGAAACCTTGGTTCCATTCACATTTGGAAACTAACCTCCTTTAATCATATCTGATGAAGGTAGGACCGATGTGTTGCGTTGTAAAAAGCACTTTAAGACCAAAAAATGATAGTCCAGGCGTCAAAATACGAAATCAACAATCAATTTACACAAAGGATCTGGAATAGCATATGAATCCATACAAGGTAATAGGAGGTACGTAATATGGTCGTTGGCTTGCTCGCTGAGCTGGGCAATTTGATTGCCTCATCACCAGTCGAGGTGAAATCATCAGTGCGTTATTGGGGAGCATAGTGGCACGTAGCGGCGGGTTAGTGGTTGTCTGTTTAGCAGTGTTACGTGTGTGTTAATATACGTGCTGTTAGCAGGGGATGACCTTTGATCGTGATTAGTTGTTCGGTCGGGCGGTTCCATTGGTTGTTCCGTTGTCCTGTGTCCTCATTCGCCGATGCCCACGTAACCTTTGAGCTTGGCACCCCCTGCCATCGTAATCCGGTCGATGCTGGAGTGATCTTTGTCCTTCAGAGTCCCAGCTTATGAGCTTTACTGATTTGACTCCAAGGCGTTCCTTGTTTCTTTGTACGCAATTCGTAATATCCAGATTAGCGGAAGATAGTTGGGTCGGGTACCTTGCTTGGTTATTAGTTTGCTCGCCAAATGTAGCAGTTGGATTGCCAATTTTCACCGCCAATCGAGGTAATACTATTCGTGCTCAGTCATTCAACTCTATAGCTCAAGCTCGCACTGTCGACGTCAAATGAATTGGTTAAGAAACGTTTGTAATCCGACTATCAAGCTGGCCAACCATTACCTAGATTAGTCGGCTAGTAAGCCTCATATCAGCATTTAAAAAGAAGGACAATACATTGGATTGTTATGTGATTGATATAAGGCCGCCATTGTCAACAAAGAAATTGCCCTGCTCCCCAAAGGGTGCAATGAAGTTTTAGAGATACGTGAAGACCAGTCTTGTGTACAGTCTACGCGGGTCTTCCTTATAGGAGTCGGCCTTGTGCACAATCAGCTTGAAGACAAACTTTTTACAGCCACATTCCTACCGGTGATCCTCACAGAGGTATTACTAGTAATCCTTTTCAGAGATTACTATGAATATAAGGTGCCGCGAATTTCGTAGAAAATTTGTGAGAATCGTGCGATATCAGGTCGTACTTGTACGATTAATCATAACCTGCTTGTCATTCTCGTATACGTTTTCGCCTCACTCTTCACAGGGTAGTATGGACGTGGCGCGTTTGGTTACATTTAGATCTTACCTCAGGTCATTTTTTTCTGTTACAGAATGATTTATTACCAAAGACGTTCTTTCTATAGGTTTTCCAAGTCCTCGATAATCAACAGAGCCCCGTCAATTTAAGAACGCCCGTCTACGTTCTGCCTGTGACTGACAGCACATTCGGATACACAGTATTCGATAAATACAGTGTTTATTACAATAAACGACAACCGTGGAATATTTGCGTTAGAAGGTGATTCTGGCAATCGCGGTATGGCGAAAAACAAATCTATTCTTAAGCTACTGTCAGATTTCAACTGACTTTGCGTCAAATTTCGGAACCTGCTTCTGAGGAAACCCGGGAAACAACAAGCCACGATTTGTATGAAGGTAGAACTAACTTGCGCATGAAATGTTTAATTCATTGATTACAACATCAACCTTATCAATAACTGCTAGCCCGGCTTTTCTAGCAAGCAGCTTGGCGCATGGTTTATCGGTACAAGCGTACGTAGATTCAGTGTCGCATCAGCAACATCAAACAAGGTACGGCTTTGCCGAAAGCTCCGATTATTTTCTATCGGCACCAGTAGCTGGGCACACCTCGTAAATCGTGCCAGTTTACCTAGCACGCACAAGAAGTAACATTCACATAGGGATGAATATGAAAGCCAATATACACCCACTAGACCGCGGTGAATATTGATCGGTTCAAGTTTGTTGCTAAACTGCCCAAATTTTCATTGGGATGGTGTTTCGTTGTTCCGCAAAGCGATTGCCCAACCCATATTATCTACTATGTTGATAAAACTAGGGTATCTAGGATGGAGTTCTCAAATAAGGATGGAATATTTGAATCCGGTGAATGATTCCCACCGTTCAAAACAACATCCAATAAAATATCGTTCTCTGGATGTAATCTGTATCAACAAAAATGAGGCAGCCATTGAACTTGTGATTGCCACTATCGGGGGACTTCAATTTTGACACATCAGTACGACCCACTAGATTATGGACTGTTTTCAAGCGAACTTGAAGTCTAAAACAATAAACACAGTTTTCGATTACTCTATTTCTGTCTCCTAGAAAGTTTACCTCGCCTCAAGTTCGACCCACGAAAACCGTACCCGTCATGCCAGGACGAAATGTGAACCATGGTCAACTCAGTGTGGCCAATTATCTTCTATTCAAGAATGTATTCTATGAGAGACATGCAGGCTTATCTCTCAAGCCCATACGCAGTAAATGACTCGAAACAAAGCGCAAATGAATGCTTCGCAAGCTTTCGACAAATACACTGATTTGCAAATCAATTAGGTTTTCAAGGGAGACGGAAGTGGATATCTCATGTATGACGTTCTTCAACTGAATGTGCTGCACACAGCCGCTCGATGTTTCAGTTGATGCGATATTCGAGATATCGCAGTCTGAACTGGGTTCAAGTAGAACATAAGGTTGACTGAAACTTGGGGACTGCTCCCACCTGATGAGCTCCATGAGGGGCGAAATCGGTCGTGGGCTGTCGAAAAATTTTCAGCAACATTGTGAGTAGTTTCCTTCGTAAGCTTCTCCTTCTTTGCCCCAAGTTAGTGTTTTGTCTGACTGCGTTCCCGCTCCAGTGCTCGGTTCCTAGAAAAAGACTGGCCGGTAAGGGACACAACAGTTTTGTCAATTTGTCGAAATATAGGTAGCTCGGGTGTGTTTACTGGTGGTTGATCGGATGTCAGTTGATCTGTTCACCAAGCTTGCCAATCGGCTTACAAACGTCTCGTCCCCAGTCGATGAGACATCGTCAGTGCGCAGTTGAATGGGTGCTTCATCCGTGCCTAGCTGCGTTTATGTAG